TTCGAATTCTGTTTGCCAGGAACCTGTCTGAGATCATTGTTTGGTACCATGCCTTGCCAGCAGCCTTGATTGCAGATGCCGCCACTTTGAGAAGTTTTCAAATTCGGTATAATCACTGTCTGAGATCATTGTTTGGTACCATGCCTTGCCAGCAGCCTTGATTGCAGATGCCTCCTCCTAGCCACCAGCCTTGATTGTAGATGCCTTGCCGACAACCTACTCTGACAGCCCAAGCTAGTTTCAGAAGTTCCCTCTCATTGTTTGCCAACAACCTGCAAAATTTTCTCTCTTCACGAACCCAAGTTATGGAGTGCAAGATTAAGAAGTTCACTGAGTCCGTCTATTTTGGTAAAGCTCTGTATAAGCATGACACCTGTAGCATCAGCACCACAACCCAAGTATAAACATGAACATCACATAAACTACAAAATTCAAAGTACAAGTTCCAAACATTTTGATTGGGTTGTGGTAACTCAAAACGGATCCATTTCCCCATGAAAGCACTCAATAGCCCAGCGCTCTCGAAAGATGGTCATTGTTTCGTTATTCAATCTGTCCATCGGGGTGTTGTTCATGTCAAACTGAATAAATTTCAGGGCATATGCCCCACAATCAACATTGCAATAGGAAGAACACATTAGCATTAGAATCAACTTATAGAACAATTGTATTATGTAAGTTAGTTTTAGACAAAATTTACCTTGATTCATTTGTTGGGATGGGAACGCGCTTGACTGACCATTTTCCCTCAATGCTTCATCACCGAGGTGGTCAAACATCCTGCTGTCATGTAACAGCCGTGAGAACAACACATAAATTGGCTCCAACTTGGCCTCCAACTGCCTGTCTCGACAAATTGTTGGGTTGCAATCAAGGATCTTCAGCAACCTCTCCTCTAAGAGCGCGACAACTGCTGTCCAGTGCATTTCCTTGACCAGGATGATGCACTAGATGCTCTTAACCTTTGCTGAACTATGGCCATATTTGGGCCTGTCCCCCATTACATAATGCATCATCCTGTCATCAAACCTAAAATCATTAGGGACGCAGTCCAAGTCTTCTGTGCCCGATCGTTTTCATTTGGCTCCTTTTGCTACAAATGCACCAATGACCTTTTTTAATAAATTGCGATATGTCGATACCAGCGTTTGGCCAAAGGCCACATCGGTGATGGCACAATCGGGATACAGTAGATCACAATTGGTGGTCTGTCGCAGCCTCATCAATGCCAATACCTCATTGATGTGCTGCATCAAATAAAAACAACATGATAAGTATACAATACCTATGGAAAAGATAAGCAAAAATAAGGAAAATTAAGTGGAAATAACTCACCGAGTCGTGAAGCCACCTGCCCATCGTCAAAATCAAAATCTCTCTAAACCATTCCCGAGAATAATCCCTGGTCCTACACTTTACAAGGGCATCACTTCCGGATTCATTGTAATAGGCATAAAAGGGTTTTTTCTTTTCCTCCTCTATTGGCCTATACAAATTGACAGTGGACTCCATTTTTGCTTGCCCGCTTCCTCCCCTTTCCTCCATTTCTACATCCCTGCTTCCTTCGCCTCCTGCCTCAACCTCCTCTATTATAATTGCCCTACTTCCTCCAGTAACCTCCTTAACCTCCTCAATTTTGGCTTCTTCCTCACTTTGTTTCTTTGTTTTCCTCTTAATTCCACGTGTTAGTACGGTGTAAGGTGATTTCACAAACCTGCTCTTTCGACTCTCTCTTTTCAGCCTAGGTTGCACTTCAACTGCCTTCAATACTCCACCAACTTCCTCCTCCACCTTAACAACTTTCTCTCCCACCTTATCCACTTTCTCTTTCACCGTTTTCAACTGCTCTTCCATCCTATCAAACCTGCCATAAACAGCTATTGTAAAACTATCAAATAAACTATTTATGAGGTCAACCACCTGACTCTCCCGACCCACACGCCTTGGCAAAGCGGTAATTGTTGTACCTGTTTGTTGAGGCATAGGAACCTCTTCCTCCCTCCCTTCCTCCCCCCTCCCGCTGATTGCGGCTTCATCCTCCTCGGCGTCTACCACATTTTCAAGCAGTGGCCCTGCAACTGCCCTCACATGTGTGACCCCTTGTAGCTCCCGCATCAGGCGGTCTATCCCTTCATCCATTTCATCCTCCAGTGCTCGGAAAGATGTGACATAGTCTTATTGAGCTTCACCCCCAGTAGCGGTGAGGAAGGGACGGACAACCCCCTGTAATATGAAACAAAATCAATCAGATTTAAGCAACAATTTAAAGCAAGTGCATATTCAAAAGCTTAATCCTTTAATCTTACCCGAGTTGATTGAATTTCAATCTCTATTTGCTCATAATCCCAATGGGTACACTTCTTGTCCTGCCACCACAACATCCTAGGAAATGTCTGTTGCACAACCAAAGAAGACCTAATCCTCCCCCTTGCTTTAGCCAAGACAGGGATGGCCTCATACATCCAAGCCTACATTGTAAAAAAAAACAATCCATATCATAATCCAAACACATATATTAAAAAAAATATAACAAAAAGCTATTACTATTTACCTGCATTGCCCATGGGAAGCCAAACAAATTGTATGTGGCCTTTCTACCCTTCCTCATCCATTGGGAGTGCTTTGACGTTAGGTCTTTTGCTTGCAGAGACTCCATGGTTCACTTAAATGATAGTTGTCCCCATACATAAGCATTAAAGAAATTCAAGTTGCTTACAAACATCACCAAATCAATATCAATGGCTTTTGTTGAGTCACCAGCCATTAGGATTGAATGTAAGAACAATACCAAGCACAGTTTGAACGTCTCTGAATCGTTAAACCCACCATTTATTAACCTTTCCTCTAATTCTTGTGCCTTAATAGATGTGTTCCCCGCCAAAACCTTGTTAGCCAACCTTTTGGCTGCCGGACTGTCCTTTATTCCTTTTGCCTTAACCTCACTTGGCAATTCTCTACATCTTAAGCCAGTCACCAACGCATATTCCATCATCCCGAAACGTAGTAGCTTTCCATCCACCACGAACCACATTTCGTACCTTTTTTTACTTTTTATTGAGTGCAGCAACATATAATGCGCTCCTGACCCCCAGAATGTCTTTTTCCATTTTGTGCCCATATCCCAAAATTGACTGAAACAAGTCTCTTTGAATCTCCTTTCACCATTCCTCAGTGTCTGTAAAATCCCCATTATTCTCGTTAAAACATCCCAACTTGACCTCATGGTCACCCGCACAGGGAAGTACCGTACCGTATCGCTTACACACTCCAACCTATATTCTCTAAAGTTTATGCTCCGGAAAATCTGCACAATCGATATAAACAGAATATCACTTAAAAAATTTAACTAAATCAAATATAAACAAAATACACTATGGAAGAATCGCTTAAGCGATGGGTAGATGATTCTGCCTCGTGCAAGATCGCTTAAGTGATCTGAAATCACTTAAGCGACCAAGAGTAAAAGTGAAAAATCGCTTAAGCAATATATAAGATCGCTTAACCGATTCGTCGCTTTTACTCTTGATCGCTTAAGCGATTTCAGATCGCTTAAGCAATCTTGCACTAGGCAGAATCAAGTTCTGCCCAGATCTTAGATCGCGTAAGCGATACAAAGTATCGCTTAAGCGATTCATCGCTTTTACTCTATAATCGCTTAAGCGACCCACAATAAAGGGATGAATCGCTTTTACTCTGGGTCGCTTAAGTAATTACAGATCGCTTAAGAGATCTTCTACGAGGCAGAATCATCTACCAGTCTAAGATCGCTTAAGCGATACTTTTGCATCGCTTAAGCGATTCAACTCTTTTACTCTTAAGCAATCTGTAATCGCTTAAGCGACCAAGAGTAAAATTGATTAATCCTTTTACTCTGGGTCGCTTAAGTGATTACAAATCGCTTAAGAGATCTACGAGGCAGAATCAACATCTGCTAGCTCTAAGATTGCTTAAGCGATACTTAGTATCACTTAAGTGATCAACTCTTTTACTGTTAAGCGATTACAGATCGCTTAAGAGATCTTCTACGAGGCAGAATCAACATCTATCAGATCTAAGATCGCTTAAGCGATTCATTGCTTTTACTCTTAAGCGATCCTAAATTGCTTAAGCCACCAAGAGTAAAAGCCATCAATCTCTTAAGCGATACAAAAGATCGCTTAAGCGATTTTAGTTCTTGTTAAGCGATCCTATATCGCTTAAGCGATCCTGCATCGCTTAAGTGACAATACAGATACCTTTTCTTCGGCAGCTTCCTCCTCCTCTGCGGCCTCCTCCTCCTCACCTGAACTCTCTCGGGACTCCTCTTCCTTGCCTGAATTCTGGCCGGCCTCCTCTTCCTCGCCAGAACCGTTTTGCTCTTGTTCTCTCTCTTGTTCTGCCGCTGTCATCTCCGCTGCTGGAACACTTTCACTGATCGAAACATCCACCGGAGCAACCATTGAACTACTTGCGCCGCCGGACTCTACGATTCGAAGAGGCATTGGGTTTTCTTCGTCATTGTGAATGTCAGCCATTGTTTTAAGAAAGGAAGAAGCTTTAGGATTGAATTTGGGTTTGAAAATTTGTAGGAATGTGGATTGTTATCGCCGGAAATTGGGCAGAATGCATTTATGGTTGAAAATTTGTAGGAATGTGAACTGTTATCGCCGAAAATTATACAGAATGCGTTTATGGTTTGAAGAATCGATTTTTGGCTTAGTCGGTTTCAATTAAGCGATTTGAATGGGTGGGGCTCTTTTTCAAATTTCAAATTTTAAAAACTTTCATTAATTATGATTGTTTTCTTATACGTTTTAATCTTTTCATTTTAACCCATTTTATGTGTTTAATTAATCTTAGCTATGTCACGTCATCTTCTCTAAATTAAAAAAAAATGAAAAACAGTTTCAGGACCATTTTGTTAAATGCAAACTTGGGATGGCCTGGGAGTTAAATTTCCTCTTCTCCCACCCCTAAAACTTTCTTGCTATTTGTCTTTATGGCGTCGGTGGTGGTGTGTTTTGGTTTGGTGCAGAATTCTCTCATTCTTTTTCTCTTTTCTCTTCCTATATTTTCATTTTAATTGAAAACCAATTTCCTTTAGTTTTACAGACGAGGCAGCCATGATGCTCTTTAGGACTGTAACCGCGCTTTCTCGTCTACGTTCTCGCGTCATAAGTGTTTTTTTCAATCTTCCACTTTATATTTCAAACTAACTTCTTCTTTTTCTTTATTTTGTTGATTCATTGAATCTTTGTCACAGGGCCAACAATCTAATCTCGCCAATTCTGTCAGATGGCTTCAAATGCAAACCTCTTCTGATCTTGTACTTTATTTCCCTCTTTTCGTGCTTCTCTGCTTTGTTTTCTTTTTTGTTTTTAATATCGACTCAATTGATGTTTGGGCATTGTACAGATCTTGCTATTCGTCTTTATTCAAGTTTTGACAATTTATTTCCATTTAGTCTACAAGGTGTTCAATTAAATATATCTACTTTCCACTTCTTGATTCATGTCTGCTCTAGAGCATCTGCTTTCAAACAAGGGAGTGAAGTTCACAGGAGAATCTTGAAATCTGGGTTCGGAAATAATCTATCTCTGACTAATAATTTAATGGGCATGTATAAAAGCTGTGGAAAATTGAAGGCAGTGTGTCAATTGTTTGAAAATTTGCCCAGTAGAGATGTTGTTAATTGGAATACCATGATATCTTGTTATGTTACAATGGGTTTGTATAGAGAAGTGTTGGATTCATTTCGTAAAATGATAGTCAATGGTGTTAGTCCTGATGAGATAACCATGGTTAGCTTGGTTTCAGCAAGTGCAAAGTTGAGGGATGTGAAAATGGGAGAGGCGTTGCATCTCTACATTGAGGAGAAAAATTTAAGCATAGTTGGAAGTTCGGTGGATATGTATATCAAGTGTGGGAAAATGGAGGAAGCACAAAAGCTTCTGGATAGAAGCGGTGCTGATGATGTTGATGTTGTTTTGGGAACTACATTGATTAGTGGGTATGTGAAGTCGAATAAAATAGATGCGGCTAGGTTCCTGTTTGACCAGATGACAGAGAGGAGCTTGATTTCATGGACTGCAATGATTTCTGGTTATGTCCAAGGTGGATATTTTTGTGAGAGTTTGTAGTTATTTAGAGAAATGAGGTTCAAAGTTGTTTGGCCAGATAAGGTTGTGCTCATAACAGCACTTTCTGCAAGTGTTGAAGTGGGTGAATTTCGGTTTGGCAGATCTATCCACTGCTTGATTTTAAAGCATGGAATGAGTGTTTCTTGGAAATGCTCTGATAGACTTGTATGCAAAATGTGAACAAGTTAATGAAGCATGCAGAATCTTTGAGCAGTTGCCTTACAAGACTATTGTGACTTGGAATACAATGTTGGATGGATTTTGCAGAAATGGAAATATTGCAAAGGCAAGAGCCTTTTTTGATGTGATTCCTGAAAAAGATGTTGGATGGATTTTGCAGAAATGGAAATATTGCAAAGGCAAGAGCCTTCTTTGATGTGATTCCTGAAAAAGATGTGATTTCATGGAACACTATAATCAACTGCTATGCTAGATATAATCAGTTTCAGGAGTTGTTTCAGCTTTTCCACAAGATGCAGAGTTCTCATATAAAAGCTGACAAGTTCACTTTGGTTAGTTTGCTATGTCGTCCTGTGCTAGCATTGGAGCCCTTAATCGTGGAATTTGGGTCCATGTTTACATGAAGAAAAATCAAATTAGTCTAGATAGCATGTTAGAAACTTGTCTAATTGACATGTATGGAAGGTGTGGTTGCTATGAAATAGCCTAGGAGTTGTTTTCTGAAATTAGTGAAAGTAATATATTTGTACGGACTGCAATGATAGCAACATATGCCATGGAGGAACAAGCGAATGGAAAACTGGAATAAAGCCCAATCAAGTCACTTTTATAGCTCTTCTAACTGCCTGTAGTCATGGAGGTTTAATAGATGAAGGTTACAAATTCTTTCATAAGATGAGTAGTTACGACATAAACCCTAAGATACAGCATTATGGATGTATGGTCGATCTCCTGGGTCGTGCTGGGCATTTAGATGAGGCATCAAATTTCATTGCTTCCATGCCAATTGAAGCAGATGTTTGCATATGGAGTTCCTTGTTGAGAGCATGTGGAAGCTACCAAAATGTCGAAATAGCTGAACATGCATTCAATACATCTCACAGAGATAGACCCACTGACTGATGCAGCATATGTGCTGCTTTCAAATGTTTATGCAAAAGGTGGTAGATTAGATGGTGTGAGCAGACTAAGAACAAAGCTACATGATATAGGATTAAGGAAGCAACCAGGATATAGCCTTATAGAACAAGATGTTCTTCATAAGTTTACTTGTGGGGATTTCTTTGATCCTCATGCTACAGAAACCACAGTGAAAGGTTGGCTGTAGCTTTTGGGCTTTGAAGCACCCGTGAAAAAACCCCAATACGGATTGTGAATAATCTTCGGATTTGTGGAGATTGTCACTCATTTATGAAGCTTGTATCTCAAACCTATAATAGAGAAATTGTAATTCGAGATAGCCATAGATTCCATCGGTTTCAAGATGGTCATTGCTAATGTGAAGATTATTGGTAATCCAGATTCTAACTTCTTTATTATTGTAAACTGGAAAAAAAATGCTTCAGAATCAAATAATAAATATTTTCAGAAAATGTATCAAACCACTAATTTATCTTAAAAACCTTATTTAAAAAAATGTATCAAAAAACTATTCAGTATTTTATCCTACTCTGATATAATTTTTAGATATTTTATTGAACACGTTTTCAAATTCAAATTCAAATCCAATTCGATTAGATTTAACTAAACTTAAAACACTTTTTCATAATAATATTTTTCATAAATTGTAACTAACAGACCCTTAGTTAATCTAAACGTGCCTCCTCAAAGTACAATCAGATAATGCATATCTAAAACTGAACATCTTAAAACCGGCCTGTCTATTATTAATATTGACCATTATCCAAGATTGTCTTCGAAAGAAGAAGACGAAGACTTTTAAATGTCAACTATAATTAGGTCTGCTTTCGGCTTTCCCAACCCCAACTACACGAAAGAAAAAAAGAAAATAAAAGAGTGATTTAAAGATGAAAAAATATATTGAATACTACAATATAATAATACCTCTTCATATGTATCACAACCCAAAGATTCTATGTCACCTCTAACTTTTTTTATTCATTCTATTTTATCTTAATTTATAATTAATATAATTGATTATTTCTAAATTAAAATCTTACATGTTATATACGTATGTGGTTTGTGATCAAAAGACTCTTTCAATGCAAGATTGAATATTTTCATATGTCATGATCTTTATAATAATGTTAATGTCCATATCTTACGTTTTTATAACATGATTTTTATGGATTTTACTTCCACCAGCATCTGTTTGGAAACTTTTACTTGTACTAGTTATATTAGTATAAATATTATTGTTGAGCCCATGCCAAGTGGCAACTCAATTATTATTTGCATGGACTCTTGGATATATATAACTTTTATTAACTCTATGCTGTAAACAATGACGACAATGTTCTATTTTAATGTGAACAGGCTTAATTTAATTATATTGTGATGTTCGACCACATGTTTTATAATTATTTGTTGAACAAGAGACCTAATTAATTATATTAAAAAATAACCTCAAATATTAAAATATGTAGATCAGTAGATGCTGCTTGACTGCATTTGCATTGCACCTTCCCGAAACCTCTCTTGGATGCCTCTCCAATGCTTAATTAATTAATTAAGTAAGCTTAATCAATTAATTAAGTAAGCTTAATCAAACAATTAATAATTAATTAAAGCATTGATAATCCATGAAGACAAAAATATGTTTTCTAATTTTGTCAATTAATTGATTGATTAAAACCCAACTTACATCAGATGCTTCAATTAATCTTTATTCTAGATTTTATTATTTTATAATTGAAAAATATTAATTTAAATATATATAATTAGATAATGCTTGCTAAAGAAGAAGACCAAGACTTTTAAATGACAACAATGACTACGTCTGCTTTCCCAACCCCAACTACAAGAAAGAAAAAGAGAAAATAAAAGAGTGAATTAATTAAAGATTTTTAATTTTCTCCTAACAAATAAAAGTTTTTAATTAAGGATCTTGAGATAAGATAATAGTGTATTATAATTCTCATCCTCTTATTAAGGGGCGCATGACAAAGCTATTGACAAAAACACTACTTGTCTTTTTAAAGTGTATTAGCCCTAGGATACCGCAGCGGCGTAAGGAACAATTTCACCTTTAATTTAGTAGGCACTCTTAGTTGAACCAAAGAAGGTATTTACCTAAATTAAAAAGGCATTAATGGAAGATGAAAAAATCTATTGAATACTACAATAGTACCACTTCATGTATATCATTGTTTTAAAATATGACCCGTTGTAAGACTCGACAAGGTGACTAGGTTATAGTTGATCGGTCCAACCGGTTAGACTAGCCGGTTGGACTGGTGACGTCAACAATAAAAACATTTTAAAAAACTGTAATTAGTCCCTTAAATTTTAAAATATTACAAAAATCTGGCCGATTGGACCGATGACGTCAACAATAAAAACATTTTTAAAAACTATAAATTAGTCCCTTAAATTTTAATATATTACAAAAATACTCCTATAAAATTACAAATTAGGCTCTGAAATTTTATTTATTTAAAAATTCTGCACAAAAATCCAATTAGTCCCTACAACTTTGAAATAATTCAAAAACACCCCCAAAAACTTACGAGTTAGTCCCTATAACTTAAAAAAAAATCAGAAATCCCTTAGAACTTGAACCGGAACAGAGAGGCTGCCAGGTCTCGGTCCCACTGGCCGGTCCAATCCGGGTTTTACAGTAGTGATGTATATCACAACCCAATGACTTTACGTCGCCTTAACTTTTTTTTTTTTTTTTTGTTTATTTATTCCCTTTTTTCTTTATAATTAATATCATTGATTATTTCTAAACTAAAATCTTACATGTTATATACATATTGGTTTGTGATCAAAAGACTCTTTCAATGTAAGATAGAAGTTTCATTGAATATTCCCTTAAGTCACGATCTTTATAATAAGGTCTATGTTAATAGTCTCTTAAAGTGATTATGACCTACTCGAAGACCTTGACTTAGTCTTCCAATATATTTAGGTCTAAAATTAAGGATCTTCATATAATTTGGGGGAGCCCNCCCGCACTTTTCTTCTCTTTTCTTCTTCTTCACCTGTCGGAGAGTATTCAGAAGACGTGATGATTTTCTCCATTTCCTCATCAATCGATAACTCCTGTGAACAACAATCGAAACTGCAAAATGCTTTCTCGCCTCAGCAATAAATCAATCAAACTAGAGTCTTTACCATAGAATTTTCCAGCGAAGGTGCATCCACAATTAATAAATAGGTTATTAGTACTGTGATTGGAGCATACCTGTATATGTAAATGTCTTTACGCTCCAATTCCTTGCGGAAAGTGTAGCAGAAGCTCAAGAAATCAACAGAAGGATACGGGTCGGTTGAGCTCTTCACGCCTTCAGTTTCCTTCACTTCACGTCTTCACCCTTGCAAATGTTGTTCATCAACTCAATAGAGTGACCTTCCAAAATGCAGTCCCCATATATATGAGTTGTCTTTAAGGTTGGGACCATGAGTTATCACACAGGTATAATCCTCAGAAAGCTCAATCTTACTTCTTGAGAGGGCTTCGATAAATCCGTTGCCAGAGCCACTGGATACAAACATCGAATCTGGTTTCACATGCGAAAAATTGTTTAAATTTAAGCTTCCTCCAATGAGTGGCAGATCTAGAAATTTCCCTCAATGGGGGTAAAATATAAACCAAAAAAAAAAATAATAATAATTAAAACCAATCTAACTACACTTTTTTTTTTTTCATTACAATGAGCTTCAATGAAAAGTTATAAAATACAAATAAATATCTTCAAAAAAACATAATTTTGTAAAAATAGAACAATTTTTCTATAATTGTCCTTGACTAGTTTTCTTATTCTAAAACGTTAGATAATTATCTCATTGTCAATTGTATCAAATACATCTTTCTCAATATAGATGACCAAGCAATCATTCATCCATTGATCTCCCATTCGATTGCATAACCGATTTTTCACAAGATTCATTATAGAAAAAACNTAGGACAATATATTGACCAAGAATGCTTCCAAGTATGACAATTTCAATTTTTCCTGCTCACTCCTTTAATAGGTGGTGGTAGTTATATGTAGCAGTCACCTCACAAAAATTTTTATAGCTATGGAGTATGATGTTTATAGCTATTCAGTGGCTATATTACCCTGAGTATATAAGAAAAGGTATATACTCCATGAAGTATGATATTTATAACTATGGAGTTCTACTTCTGCAAATCATTAGTGGCAAGAAGACTACATGCTATTGTGGCTCTTACAGAGATTTGACCCTTTTAGAATATGTAAGTTACTGGTCATTCTTTCTTATAGACATCCTGATTTTTTTTTTTTTTTTTTTTTGAAAAAATTGTGATTTACTATAGTGAGAAGCTTGGCCAAAGATGGGTAACATTTAAGTTACTTCAGGGGTATGAATTGTGGAAAGAAGGTGAAGTCATGGAGTTTTTCGATTTATCACTAGACGATTTGTCTTCTCCATGGAAACTGAAGAAATGCTTGCAAGTAGCTCTACTATGTGTCCAGGAAAATCCTGTAGATAGACCAACCATGTTGTATGTTTATACGATGCTCAAAAGCGAAACTGCAACCATCTCAACTCCTAAAAGGCCTACATTTTCAGTTAAAAGAGATGAAGATGAGGAAAGTAAATGTGCATTGAAGGTGAAAATTTGCTTAGTCGATGAGGCAACAATCACCAAACGGGTAGCCAGATGACAATGTAGCCTCTCATGGTACATAACTAGAGAAGATATTGACATATTTGCGCTCAATCACCAATCAAGTAAGCCTAATCTGTCCTAGAATATGATGGAAGCTGCCCTTGGAAAGTGGTAGATAATCACAAAATTTTCTTGAAAATGTAATGAGTGTTCTTACATTCAAGTGTTTATAGAAAGTTCATGAGAAATTTAACAAGTCAGCATGTCTTGACAAGGAACAGAAGCCAAATGACTTGACCCTGTCTCAAAATATTTTCTAATTGTTTTATACATGGCTAAAAATTCTAGTCCTAGGGAAGTATAATGTTAATGTGTAAATATGATCATCTTCCTCTTCTTTTTTATTATGTCTTGCCGATTGAAGTTTTCTATTTCAAAAAATTGGATCAAAGCTGGTTACTGGTATGCTGGTAGTGAATTTCCCATATCAGAAATAAATTATGCCTTGTTTACTCACCTTATATGTGCTTTTGCCAGTGTAGACTCTTCCACTTACTAGCTGTCCATTCCATCTGCCAATGAACAATACTTCTCAAGCTTTATTGGTACCATCTTATGCGAAAGTCCATCAGTTACAACTCTTCTTTCAGTCTGGAAAGGATAGAATGCAACAGGTCAATCCATATTGGGCAACAAAGTGAACTATTCAGTTCTATCTTCAATGGTTAGTGATTCTTCTCATAGGAAGTCTTTTATTGAATCTTCGATGAAAACCGCTAAGCGTTATGGATTTAAAGTGATTCTTCATAAGGAACAACCATTCCTTATGAAGGAATGACTGTTCCTTATGAAGGAACACATAAGGAATGGTTGTTCGTTTCTAGTAATTCCTTGGGTACCTTGGGTGTGGTGGGAGTTGACGTGACAGGGTTAATATGTTATCATGTTAAGGTTGTAAGAGAAGATTGTGAGATTGGGTTGTAAACGTAACATTTTTCAAGTTCTTATACTTATATAATACACAACTCATGTGTAAGCCTCAAATTGGTGATAAGAAATTATTTAATCACAAGGTCTCATAATTTTTTTTTTTTTTTTTGAGCATATACTAGGGTGAATAATGTTATAACAAAAAGGCATTTTATAAATAAATTTGTATACAAACTATTAGTCCAATTAATTTTTTTTTTTGTATGCACGATTTTTCCTAGTCTTTTTATTAAGAACAAAAAATGTCAGTTAAACAAAAATGGGCAAAAAAATGGGTTAGGGCATCTCCAACCCAGCGCTATTTTGGTGTAAAAACACCAAAATAGCGTGACACTTACCTCCAACCCAGCACTATTTTCTGCCCCAATTTAGTGCCCAGCTACAGTGCCACGCCAAATTTGGTGTAGCACTGTTTATGCACACCAATTTGGCGTGGCACTGTTCAAACAGTAAAATTTTTTTTTTTTTTTTGGTGATTTGTATTTAAGTTAATTTGATTATTATTTATATTAATATTTATAATAATAAATTCATAATAATTATATAATTCAAAAAATTAATGATGAAAAATTAAAAACGAAACTTTATTCAATGTAAATTTTAAACTACAATAACTCAAAATAAAAATTAACACTAATTTAAAAACACTAAAATTAAAAGAAAATACAACATAAACTAAAATAACAATTTAGTATTCCGGTAGATTAGTTCCGGATCCTCTACGATTATCAAAATATTGGAAAGAACTAGAGTTATTTTGAGACCTTTGACCTTGTTATTGAGCTCTTTTTTACATAATTCTTGATTGCTCATTTTGAAAAAACTCACGTAGGCTTGGATCGGTTATGGAATTCAAATTTTTGAATAAAATTTTGTTATCTTCTCGATATTCTGCCAAAGCCAATTTTTTCATTTGGATTTCGTAATTTTGTGCCCTAGCTGAGTTGCCCCGATTGAAAATAGCAGCGAGCTGTCAATTTTCTTCTTGAATAGTTTCAATACTGTTTGAAACTTTTTCATCATTTTTCCTTTTAAATTTTGCTTTCTTCACCCCAATGGGTCACTGAGCTGAACTACCCCCAATATCTTCATCATCTATGTTTAGAGAATATGACGACATGTCACAAGACACCAATTGGGGAGACTTTGAAGTGGGAGTCTCTGATTCTTGTGAAACAAACCTACCGGTTTGCCTTTGAAATACTTCTATGGCGTTAACATTATCTGTAAATTTTTCAATATCCTTAAGTATAAGCCACACATGATCAAATTTGAAACCTTTCTTGTAACTTTTATCTTGTGCTAGTAACATTTTGGCTTGAATCATCTACAAAGCAATATACATATAACGTTAAAATCAATTAGATAATAAAAAAATTAATTAAATGTGACAAATACTCACAATATCTTGCTCAGAAGCACAACTTGGATTCATATTTTCAATTTGATGTACACATCCCCTCAATTTGCTAATATCTTTAAAGATTAGTTGCATTCGACAATGCAAAGATCTTTTGTTTCGAACCAAAGTGAGAAGCACGAGTTTGGAACTATTGTAGTCAAGCTCAACTCGAGACTAGAATTGATCACTAGATTGGTTTATACCTAAAATCGGGTTTTGAGAAACATCAAGATAAATATGACATAGATGCATGTCTTCTTCATTTGTGTACGAAGAACTTCGTTGTATAGTCATTTTGTAACACAAATGAAGAAGATATATGCTTTTTTTTTTTCTAAGAGGAAATATAAGAGATGTGTTCAAAACTAATGTGTTGTATGCTCTTTTATAACATAAGTTTGAACTGAAAGCTTGAATGGACAACACATCTTTTTGAGCTTGAATGAACAATACATCTTTTGAAATAAGCTACAAATCTAAAAAGTTTGAATGGACAATACATCTTTTTGAATAAGCCACAAATCTCAAAAGCTTGAATGGACAATACATCTTTTTGAATTATTATTTTTTATCTAGAATAGTATTTTCTTCAACTATAAAAGCTCACACCAAATCAACTTCCAAATCATTCAACTAATATATCTACAAAGATGAATTTCAATTTTGGAGGTCCATCTCATTTATCATCTTCTAATTCATCATCATTTTCCGACAATGAAATTGATGATGAGGAATTGATGAATGATCTTGAAGCGATTGATGTAGAGCAAGAAGCAATCCTTCGCATGAGAGCTAACAACAACCTCCTCCTCCTTCACTATCTCAATCAACAAAACAACCAGGTGATTCGTAGAGGACCAAATCCTGGTCATAGAGTCATCAATCGCAATCGGGAAACTGCTGATCGTAATCTGTTCAACGATTATTTTGCCGATAATCATGGTATAATGATTCGATGTTTTGCCGATGATTTTGAATGTCTTGAAATTTATTCATTCGTATTGTTGATCGCGTGAAAGGTCATGATAATTACTTTGTACAACGAAGGGATGGGCTCGATAGGCTCGGATTGTCTGCTTTTCAAAAGATAACAGCTACTTCATATTGGTGAACAACATGGTTTTCCAAGAATGTTGGGTAGTTTAGATTATATGCACTAGAAGTGGAAAATTTGTCCAATGGCTTGGGTAGGACAATATGTTGGTCGTAGTGGTTCCCCAACTATTATTCTTGAGGCTGTAGCTGATTATGATCCTTGGATATGGCATGCATTTTTTGGTTTGCCGGGTTCCAACAATGACATTAATGTGTTGGAGGCATCTCATTTGTTTGCCAACCTAACTCAAGGTATTGCTCCTTCTGCTCATTATATCATTCAAGGAAAAGAGTATAATATGGGTTATTATTTAGCTGATGGTATATACCCAAAGTGGTCTACTCTTGTGCAAACTATTCACGATCCACGTGGTCCAAAAAAAAAATTATTTGCAATGAAACAAGAAGGATGTAGGAAAGATGTGGAACGTGCGTTTGGGGTTCTCCAATCGCGGTTTGCAATTGTGGCAGGACCGACACGTTTTTGGGGAAAAAAAAAATGTATTACATGATATAATTATTGCGTGTATTATTATGCACAACATGATAATCGAGGATGATCGTAATGTTGATGCATCGATTGAGAATCAGATGGAAGCGCCAACTCCCAAAGTTGAAATTGTCGTAGATGAAAATGTCCGATTTCAAAATTTTCTTGCTCAACATAGACAAATCAAGGATACAGAGGCTCACCATGCTCTTCGAAATGCATTAATTGATCATTTGTGGGAAGAATATACTAATTCGGAAAATTAAATTACTATCAATATGAAATTTTATTTTTGTGTTGTTTTTTTTTATTTTTTTTGTATCATTTTATATTAGATGTAATGTTTATTTGATTAAAAAAATGCTTAATTTTATTAAATTAGTATAATTTTTAAAGTAATTATTATTTAATAAAAATATCATTTCTAATATTTAATTAATATATACAAAAATAATGAGTGAAATAGAGTAATTGTTGATTATTACAATTAAAAAAAAATATATATTCATTTTTATGTAATATTTGGTGCAGTGGATTGGAGATGCAATAGTGTTTCATACAAAAAATCACACCAATTTGGTGTGAAACTTGCACCAATTTAGTGCAATGAGTTGGAGATGGTCTTAGTAAAAATGGGTTAGTGCACCAAAATGGATTAGCTAACTCTAACCGATATTAATTATAAAACCAAATAGTCATGGGCCAAGTAAAGTTTAATATTTAACACCCCTAAACTTTATTTGGGCGTAACCTTAAGTGCAAAAGATGGTGTTGTTTTAATAACAAACTCGGTGATCCGAGATAGTTGCAGATTAGGAAATTGGCAGTATTTCGCTAGTTATAATTCTGGCTAAAGATTTTGCTTACTAATTGAATTGGCTATATAAGACGCTTGGCTAAATTATGTACAGCGTCTCAAGAAGAATTGTGCTATGCTCCCCTGATCCTATAGAGCGAAGAGCTGCCTGGTGATCCTAAGTTGCAGCACTTCGGGCGTTTGTTTTTATAATGCTGTCAAAGACGTTTATGACCTAATTTTGTCTTTTTCCATTTAGACCCAACATTGTAGCGGAAGTTGGCAGGTTTTATTATTTTTTCAACTGCATGCCTTGACTTCGTAAACTTTGTGCTTTCAAATCTGTTTTGACTCATATGAACCACGAGATTAAGTCTTTGCTCGAAGAGGAAGACCTTCATCTACCAACAAAATATCACAAAAATATTTCAATAAAATTTGAACTTTTGTATCATATGCATATAAGTTGTGCATAAGGCATTTAGATTTGTGAAAAATGATAGCATGAACTATGTACATGGTGATAGTGGTTTTCAAACACATCTACGTAATACCCATTCTAATTATGTTAGACTCTGCACTAAGTATGATTGGTTGTGATTCCATCTAAATGGTAAGATGCATCGGGTATGATAGATTGTTGTATTGCCAACTCGAGCAATGTAGGATGTGTATGGTCGAAGGCCTGAGCGATGCAGGATTTCCCTAGGCAGGATGGATTAGTGGTTCTGCGTGGTGACGTTAGATCTTGTAGGTATGACTTTTTTACCCCTGGGTTATTTGGATTGTAAGATATGAACCTGATTTCAAATGTTTCTCCTTATTTTGAAATAAGACTATCGTGTATATTTTATGATGTTTATTTCAAAAATACAGTTTTATGGTTTACAGATTTACATGGCACGTCACTTGAGTCTCATGGGTGCTCCCAAAGCCTATGAATGATTAGAAAATAGAATATGCATTGGGATAAAATAGTACTTGCAAATAATTTGAAACTGGGGCATGTTTGGTTGGCTATTATTAATCATTATTCTGTTAGTATTTAGATAAAAAATAAATATGTGTTTGCTTATTTATTGATCAACCAATCTGAAAATTAATCTAATTCAAATAGCTTTTTTTTTTTTTTTTTTTTTTTTTTTTTGTCTACAAATGAACCAGGGTGGCACTTTGTTTTCTGATTTTCCTAATTAAAAATTGTCTTTTCTCCCATCGCTCTCCCTCGACTCCAGAAACTTTCTTGATTATATCTTTTCTCCCACGGGGAGGTTTATTAAAAAGACATATTGAGTTAAAATTTAATTAAAAGGCTATGTAATTTGTAAGTTAACTAAATAGCCTTATTTTTTATTAAGCTTAATTATATATGATTAGGGGTTAATCAGGATTAATGATAATTGTGTAATCTTTTAAAAATATAATATGTCCCCAAAGAGTCAAAAATCTTGCAAAGAGCCCAAAACCTTCTTCTTTTCCTCCTGCCGCGTAACGCATTCTCAGCCATAACGTTGTCCAACACGATTCTCCTTTCCTCCTGAAATTTCATCCAGGTATGTGTATCTCCTTCGATTTATATTTCAATAACAAAGATCTGGGTTATGGTTTTGATTTAGCATGGATGGGGTGGGTTATGATTTTGATAGTTGTTTAGGTTGTTGGGCTGTGTTCGATGTAATGGAAGTTGAAAGGAGTGAAATATGTTGAAAATTTGTTTGGGTATGTGTTATGGGTATGATGGATCGATTGTAGGTGGAGACGATATGAAAATGTGTTTGGGTATGATGGATCGCTAAGCGTCGGCGTATCACAAGGATTGGTAGATCTGGTAATGCAGCAGATAGATCGTTAAGCGATCAGGTATGTGGCATAAGATCGCTTAAGCGATCATGGTTATTTATACTCGATCGCTTAAAATAACCATGATCGCTTAAGCGATACACCGACCATATAAGCAACTGTCCAGATTCTTTTTAAAATATTTTAACCCTTAGTACACATTTAAGAATATTTTTCTTGCATTACAGGTAGTAGTTGGCTATTATTACACATGGGACAAGTGTGTTGGGTTTGAATATTTTGGTGAGTGGGTGGAGGAAGAAAATAGTTGGAAGTGGATTGGGAAGAGCAAATAAGTTATACCAATGCTTGTGACCACAGAGGTTAGTTTTGATGAGTTGTTATGAAATAATTAAAAGAGGTGATTTGAGTTGCTCGCGTAATGATATAGTTGTGAAGTATGTTTTAAGCAAAGTTCTGAACATTATAAGGTACCTCCTGCTATATTAAAGTCGGATGAAAGTGTGAAGTTATATATGATTGATGTGGCCGATAATGGTTCGGGCCGATTTTAAGGGTCTTTTGTAGAAAAATCGGCGGAAATTGGTTCAAATGAAGGGGATAACGAGGAAGTAGGCAGAGATTTGCCTGGTTTTAATTTGAACTACGAGGCCATTGATTTGTTAGTTGAAAAATCAAAAGTGACGGTGAATTGGGTGGTGAGGAGGACACTGTAGAAGAGGTTGGTGATGGGGGGCAGAATGAAAATGTTGAGGAGGAGGACCCATACATGTTCCCACAGATGTAGAGATTCTTTAACAACAGATTATGCAGAAGGTGTAGATTGTGAGGAAGAGAACACTATGGTTTTTATGCAGGTTCAGAGGGGGCAATTGGAGGTGGTAGTGAATCAGCTCATGTTTTTACGGGGATCGGAGTTGCGATAGGGTATTTATTTGACAACAAAGAGGAATTGGTGAGGAAGCTAAAACTTGTTGCGTGAGAGGTCATTTTGAGTTCATCACCAAAAGTCAAATTCATTGGCAGTGACGATTACATGTCGTGACCGAAAGTGCAAGTGGCGGGTTATTTTAGAAGGTTGGCGAAGTCCGAAAAATTTATTCTTAGCACATATAACCGTGAGCGCACATGTGGTTTGGGACATATTTCAGGTGAGCATCGACAGCCTCCGCTGATGTTATTGGCAATTTGTAAAAGTCAGTTCGTTGAAGGGAAAGGTCCATCTCCTAAAGATATTCAGAGACTTGTGCGCACAGAGTTGGGATGTGCTGTTAGTTACTGGAAATGTTGGAAAGGGAGAAAACATGCACAAGATTTGTAGGGGCACACTGGAGCACGGGTACGCAGTATAGAAGCGTACCGTTATATGCTTGAGTTGACAAACCAAGGTAGCAAGACGGCTTTGAAGTAGGACAGGAATATGATGTTTAATTTTTTGTTGCAAGGTTTGCATAAGGTTTTGTAAACATGAGAAAGGTGTTGGCTGTTGATGGTTGCTTTGACGGAAAGTATGGAGGTACATTGTTGGTGGCCACTGCACAGGATGGCGAGAAACACATAACCTATTGCATGGTGTGTGGTTGACTGTGAGAATGACGAGTCGTGGACTTGGTTTTTTCAGCAATTACGTAGTAGTGCCTGACAGTGACGAGTTGTGCATATATACCGATAGGCACAACTCTATAAGAAGGGGATGCCACTATACCGTCAAGCACATCACAGATTCTGTATGAGGCACCTTGGTGAGAACATAAAACAAAGTTTAAGTGTGCTGGCCTCCTTCAGACATACTACATGGCAGCAAAGCTTATCGGTTGACAAGTTCGAGGAGCACTTCCAGGAAATCCAAATAAGGATGATAGAGTTGCTAAGTATCTTGAGCGTGATGTGGTTTCGAGCGATGGAGTAGAGCTTATTTTCCGGAAGAATTTGATGTCATGACACAAACATAACTAAGTCATAATTTGAAGTTGTTATAGAAAGGAGAGTTCAATAGTTGCACTTTTTGATGCAATCAGAGGACATTGTCGCGTTGGTTCCATGAGTGGTCGTACGAAGTCATATAATTTTCTACAACCCTTGTTCTGTCAGCTGAAAAATATTTGTGAGAACGTATAGACTGTCAATGCACTGTTTGCCTATCTCTTAATGCTCAAGAGTTCACTGTGCACGGCTATGGTGGGATGCCGTAGTTAACCTTTTTAGAAAAACTTGCAGCTGTAAGTGTGACATTCAATGTTTACCTTGTCCTCATGCACTAGCAGCACTGAAACACCAACGGAAGCCAGATTTTGGTTCAAGAATTTACATGGAACTTTGCTCCCCTCTCTATATGACAGATCACTACAGCTAGCTTATTCAGAAACGATATATCCGGTTCTCCAGAAGAGCAGTGGGTAGTACCGCCAGAGATGGCTGACATTATC